TCACTAACTCTGGCCTGACAGAAAAATAATAGCATAGTACCAAACTAGGCCCTCTGAGTGTGGGTAAGAGTTGTATGGCTGGGGTAGAATCTGGGGTCACTTGCAGCGAGAACAGGATTTATCTATATTACTTGTACTGACTTTTTGGAACCCATTCTCTTTGAAGGTATACCTTGCTCAACCTAGATATAGTTGGGGATGGCCTGGGTTATGCCTCAAACACTCTGCTAGACTTGTTGACTCCCCATGGAGAGTCTTACCTTCTCTGAGAAGGAGGTGGGAGTTGGAGGGAAGGTGAAGGGAAATGAAGGAGGGCAAAGAGTGGGAACTGGGATTAATATATAAAAATGAGAAAAATGTTTTTTAAATAAAAAAATGCAAATAAGATCAAAGCAAATATATTCACCTCATCTTGTGAATGTTTCTAGCTTTAACACCATTGTGATATTTTTCTCCACTTTTCAGAAATAATAAAATTTTGTTGTATATCAGGAACTACTATGAAATCACAGAATTTTTTAGAATAAATTGTAAAAGTTGTGAATCCATAGCCAATGCAGACTTGTAAAGAGACCTCCAGATTTACAAACATTATAATTTTATATAGAGAATAAATTTGAAGTCTGAAGATTATCAAATTACAAGAGATGGCTGTTGAGCAAGCCTTTTACCACAGAAGGGAAAATTGTATGAAACATTAGTCAGAGCTAATCTTCAAGGTGATTCTAACAGAACTTGCAAATTTACATATCTTCAATTAACTTTATATTTTAAGGAAAAGATATTGATACTGGAGATTATCATCTGAAAATGATTAATCCCTAGTAGTTTGATGAAATTTTATTGGGTAGCTTGACAAATAATTAAGATTTGCTACAGAAATATGCTAATTTTATAACATGTTTTGTAGTGTTATGAAGTACAATGTTCAGGAGAATTACAAACACATCAGAGTCTTTGAGAAAAGTAGAAAGTAAATGACTTTTGACAAAAGCAAATGTCTATTTTGTAGTAAACCCAAGGATTTTTAATTAGCAAGGAAACAGATTTGAGAAAACTTATATTAACTTTAGACAATTGTGCAGAGATTCGGGGACACATAAAGAAGACCTTGGTTGTGGTACGATCTGGCGGGCTGATTTGATAGACTTATGAAATAAAGAATATTTGATTAGAAAGAAACACGAATAAAACCACTGTGTTTAAAATGTTAGAGGAAAAACTTTTTATGTAAATTATGTTTGGAATAAGGAATGACAATATAAAATCAGTAATATATTGTTGTGAGGGCCTGATGAACAGAGGTTTCAGTTTACCATGGCCTGGCAACTTATTCATTGGTCAGCAACATGGAGGACTCCCTGTCACTTTCAAGGGGCTTCCTGTTCTCTGCTTGACCTTTTTCTGGATAATGTCCATAAGCCCACATGTCCGAATTTTCCCTAGTGTTACCCTAGTGTTACCCTAGTGACATAGTCCCCTACAGAAGTTTTACCTCTGCAGACAATACAATAATTAGACTTGTCTTGTACTAGAAGCCTTATGATAGGAATATGTTGTTTAATGAAAATTAGGTCATGTTTATATCTCCCCTCACTCTGGAATAAAGTTGAGCTGTCTCACTGAAACTGTATCTCAGAATGATATGGGATTCCCATCTGTATGTTGTGAGTATCATTGGTTAATAAAGGAATTGCTTTGGGCCTTTAGCAGAGCTAACGGGGAATAGTGGTAGGCAGGGAAAACTAAACTGAATGCAGGGATGAAAGAAGGGCAGAGTCAGGAGAAGCCATGTAACCCTGCTGGAGCCAGAAGGAACTTTAGTTGGTAAGTCACAGCCACGTGGTAATACACAGATTAATAGAAATGGGTTAAATTAATATGTAAGAGGTAGCCAATGAGAATTTAGAGCTAAGGGGCCAAGCATCAATCTAATTAATACAGTTTTTGTGTGATTATTTTGGAGCTGAGCAGGCAGGAACCAACAAGCGGCCTCCTTCCAACACCAGAAGGCTATTTCCATGATGTTCATAGGCCATACAAAGCTGTGACCATATGTGCCACTTTGTCCTCACAGACTGGTAACTTTTTCCATGAGGGAAAAGAGGACACCATAATATACATGTGACATTTTGAAATTACCATCTGGAAGAAGATAAAAACTTGAGAGTGTAAAAGGGTTTTCTAGATAACAGTATTTTCATCAGGGCTGCAATTTTAAAATAAGGTCTTTGGAGTATGATGCACCGGACGTTGACAGGAAATCACAGTTTTTCTAAAAGTGGTTCATTATATTTGGCAAATAGTACATTTCTGACAAACCCAGGCATTGTTAAATAGTGAACTGTTTAGAATGCGTAGTTGTGTTGCTTGCAGAGTGGAAGAAGTTTACCAAAGGAGAATAATTGTGTTGTGAGTTATAAAGTAGTGTTTCACCAAGGTTTCACTTTTGGCACAGCACAGAAGTAATATTATCTGTATAGCCTATTGGAAAAAATTACAGGACTATTTAGGGAAAAAATATCCTTTACATTTTTTGTACCATGAAAAAGAAAGTGTATATTCTTATATTAAAAAGACACGTTGAAATTATATGTCCTGCTGTGAGCACAATATATTTTGTGCCTGGTATATACCTCTCGAGTAACTCAATGATAGCCTTCTGTAATCTTTCACAAATATTTGAGATATCTATGCATGTGTGGTAATCTAGGTTACTGGTTTATATCATGACCCCCGATAGCTTTGAGAGTTGTTTCTCATGAAACCTAAATATGACTGTTAATTATTAGAAGCTGAAATTTTTAAAGATAAAGTTCACTCTAAATCCCCATATTGTGGCAAAGACTATGGTGATCTATTCAGTTGTATCTATTATTTATTTTCAACAAAACAATAGGATTTTATTAAATTATTAAACAGAAGCATAGAGATACTGCTGGCTTTGTGTCTAATTTAGAGAGCTTAAATAATCTACATATGAAACTACAGTGAAAGGAAGGTATGGAGGTTTCAGCAATCAGTGAAATAAACACCTGAGAAGGATCACAAGAAACAGTCATCTGTGGGATTGACAACTGGGTTGTAGATAAAAGAATATAGTTTAATAGAAGGTCAAGTTTTTTTTCCTATATTTTTTTTATTTTATTAAGTTATAAAAGTTTCCATTTCCGCCCCTCCTCCCAACACCCTCCCACTCCCCTCCTCCCTCTCCTCCTCCCTCTCCATCCCTAAGAGCAGTCAGAGTTTCCTGCCCTGTGGGAAGTTCAAGTTCCTCCCCCCTCCCTCCAGGTCCAGGGAAGGTGAGAATCCAAACAGACTGGATCGCCAAAATCCAGTATATGCAGAGGAAGCAAGTCCCAGTGTCATTGTCAATGGCCTTTCAGAAGGGCTCCGGGCCAGCCACATTCAGAGAATCTGGTTGGATTGCGTCCTCGTTCAGTCCCAGTCCAACTGGCCTTGGTGAACTCTCATTCTATCAGTCCCCTTGTATCAGTGGGTGCTCGCATCCCTCGCAGTCCTGATTTTTTTTTCATTTTCTTTTTTAAAGATTGGATTTGGTTTATTTTGTTTAGAATACAAAGCAAATTGCAAAACATTTGAAAATCAAGTAATTTTTTTGACAGAAACAGGAAATTGAGCAGAGTATTAAGAACTTAGAACATGGTGGGGATAACTAAGTGACATATGAAATAATGCTATGGAATATTAAAATTTTTATTGCAGGAATAATAGTAAATATTTACTTCTATTATACTATATGGTTGGATGTAGATGGAAAATGTTAGATAAATGTAAGTGTGTGTAAATTCTTCTGATTATTCACTTTTCAACAGGATTTCCAAGAATGAAGTCCTGGAAAGACAATAATAAATGTATTTTTAAGATTGGAATTTTAATATAGGGAACTAGAAAGACAACAATAACAGAAAATTGGTGGGAAAGTGCCATCATTAGTTATAGGAAAAAGAAAAGATCACCAAATCTGATTTAGAAAATCACAAAAAAAGAAGAGCTGTTGTTCATTTTACATTGATATTATGGAAGTGAAAAAGTATGGAGTAAGACATCATTATAAGAAACTAAAATATTTTGATTATAAAATAAACCTGACAATATAATTTTCAAAAGATTACAAAATATAATTGTTTTAAAAATTCAGAGAAAGATAAATAACATTTTAGATATAGTATCCAAAAGGATGCTTAAATTATGAGAAAAATATGCAGAAAGAAAAATATCATTTATTTATATCAACATTATGTCTTTAATCAGATGGATAAATCCACAAAAGTGATTCAAATAGATAGGGAGAGAATTTTAACTCGTCTTAGATGAAGTTCAGTATAAAGTTCGTGTCCTTTCTCGCTAATCTATCAAATAATAACTTATACATATGTACATATATACATGAGTTAGTTATATCTTTGTCTTTCCTCCAAGACTCAAGGGAAATAAAAAGAAAAAATTCTCTCTCGGTATGTCATGCTCCTTTTTTCTTCCCACTGTTCTACTACATGCAGATTCCCGAAATTTGAACATTTTTGTCTCTGTTATCGACTACTTATAAATCATCTTCTAGGTGTTTGCCAAATATTTACTGATATCATACAGTAGTAACAGTGGTGAGAATCAAATGGTAGACAAAGGAGAGCCCTCTTTGACAAGAAGAGCATGAATCCCTGTGGAAGAACTCCATACCAGGCTAGAACATTTTAAACTAAGAAAACTGCAAAGGTATGATGTGTTGAGTAGATAGATTGTAGTGTGTCAACACTGTCTCCTAGAGGCTTTCCAGGATAAATTGGGGGTTGCTAATGCAAACCTGCGGATTTCATTATGATTAACACACTACCTCGTTGAACCATTTTTGAAATACACTCTACTCTGTGGGAACATTGCCTGACCTCAGGGAAGAGAAACATGACCTGGAGAAATGTTTAAATGTTAAAATTTATGCTTGTATTGAACCTTTCTGTTATTTAATTTTCTTAATTTCTACAGTGTAATGAACACAGTCTCCCACTACCACAGATTATGCAGTCGAGTTTCCCACATTTGGGGAAATTGCAGGGGTCAGCACATCTGGAGGGCAATAGATAAGCATGGCCCTGGATAAAGCACCTTTGTGATCATGGGATCTCCCCTGCCAGGAAAGTATTATATGAAAACAAACCTTAATAATGAAAACCAAGAACTGTATATGTTTTTTCTCTAGTCTCACATTGATAATCTTTGCTTAGGGTTCTACATGGCTTATGATTATATAATTTGATTAGGAATAGCTCTTCAATAATAAATAATGGAGATTAGTTCATAAATAGAATTCCTAAGAAGAGTCCATCAATTAACATTCAGTGTAAAGTTTTATCACAGGAGAATCACAGCAAAAAGGAAAATAAAGTAGATAGCTATAAACTCCTAAGGAATATAAGAAAACATTCTCTTGAATTGCTTTCATTTTGATTAATCAGATTTAGTCTGTCTTAAGGAAATGCTCCCTTTAATCAGATTATGCTATTGCTTTTCCAATCCCTGCAGAAACACTGTAAGGTACATACTCAACGAGGGCCTCGAAGGCTATACACAAGCCATTAAATAAAACTGGAACCGTGTTCATATTCATATGTTCTGAAGATAATATGCATTTTATTAGTAAGTATAAATATTGAGAATGAGAAATGTAGTTATTATATTAAAATTTAATATGTCATAACATAGACTATTTCTACCAAATGCCAGGGACATACACAATGGGAACAAAGTAAAAGAAGGAAAAAATGAAGAGCCTTAAGAACTTACGTGTGTCTGTGTAAACCTAAGTAAAACTGTGTGTGTTATTACTTAAGTATTATCCATATATTTTTAAAAAGCATTTTGATTACACATTTTGAGACAGTGTATCTCACTGGCCTGGGATTTTAAAATGGCTAGGCTGGCTAGATAACACAGTTTTAAACATATATGGCTGTTTGGATGTTTTGATATGAGCTCTAGGGCTCAAAGTCAGATCCTTCTGTTCATTAAGAAAATGCTTTAACACTGAACTATCTTGCCAAGACTGTGATTTTGAATGAATTCTTTTTATAAACTTAACTACACATTCAAACATTGCAATTATTTAATTCCATAGAGATCAAAGTTACAGCTTAGATTTTATCATTAAAACTAAAGTAAATACAAAGATATATAATGAGTTTGGTAGTCTAATTCAATTATTGGGTAAAATTGGTATTTAGATATAATAAGAGATTGGAAGTTAGAAAAGAAAGAAAGAATATATTGCAGTTGGGCAACAGCATCTTGTGATAAAATGTTATTATACATATTGTTTTTATAACAAATGATGACCAAGAAACAATTACCATAGTTGGTAGATGATATCCATTTAATAATTATTCAGCTCTCTTGGGCATAATCCAAGGTTCACTGGAGAAATTTTGTCAGAAGGAAGGTGATAGTGGAAAACACAGGTCAAAGAAAGAAAGATTTAAAACATGAACAGACTAGAGAGAGTAATGTTACTTGTGGCAGGCTCTGGAGAGTACTCTGCTCCAGTATGTCATGAATGCAAAAGGATGATATCATAGCTTAAAACAAAGAGAATTTTGTTTCATAAAATTTTTACTCTAGTTCCAGGACCAGATAATTTATAAAAGGCATGAGATTGAATAAGAAAAAGGAGGTGGAGATGGGAGGATGAGACTCAGAGAGAGGAAACACGGAGATAGAGCCAGGAAGAGCCACATGAGTAAATGAGGAAAAGAGAGCAGATATAGTAGTGAAACATTGGCTAACACACATTCAACACTAGAAAGTATCACTGAGGAGATTGTCAGGCCAATCAGAAGGGAATCAGGGATCCACATTAGCTATAGGTTTCGGAAAGATCTTATCTTCTTTGCCCTCAGCCATATCAGTGTAATCAATAACTTAAAGACAGCTGTGCTCAGTCTTTGGCTAGTTTTAGAGTTAACAATGCCTATGTACCCAAATATTCCACTCTGAATATCAAAAATGAGGTGTCATGGGACTGTCCTATTTGAGACCTCTGGAAAATAGTTCTAGTTAGAGGGGGAAAACCTGTAGTCAGATTAGTATTGTCTTCAATTACTTTTAGATATCCTGCATAGAATGGAGTCTGGTGTGAGATTCACTAGTTCTCCAGAGATAATTTATGATCTTCTTTGGTCTTAAGAGTAATAAGGTCTCTAGGTGGTGGGGATGCACGCATTTAATCCCAGTACTCAGGAGGCAGAGGCAAGTGGACCTCTGTGAGTTTGAGGCCAGCCTGGTCTACAAGAACTAGTTCCAGGACAGGCTCCAAGGCCAGAAAGAGAAATCCTGTCTCAAATAAAAAAACCAAAATAAATAAATAAATACATAAAATTAAACAAAAAGAGCAATAAGGTCTAAGGTACATATTAAGTGGACAGATTGCCAAAAGTGGACAAAGTAGACAGATCCAAAAGTGCAATTTAGGCAATGTAATAAGAAAGCATGTACTATTGATTTTATCTAGTTGAAGGACAAGTAAGAAAATGATCAAATCAGAATGTCAAATCCCACAAAGGTTTTGTTCTCATTGGAGAACATGAACTCAATTTGCCAAGGAAGATGAGGCAATCGAGACAGACTCTCTAACTGCACTCACATAAGGAACTCCATACAAATTTATCACAAGTGACTTGTGTCCATAAATGACTAAATGTACACACACATACTCTACACTGCTGTCCAGATTTATTGTAGGAGCGGTGAGACTGGCTTGGTCTGCATGATTAGGTTTTGCAAATACCTTTTTTTTATCATTTATGTAACATTTTAATAAATTGCATTATTTAGAATCTTATTTTTTATCTATTTCTTTCATTTTCCTTTCTATTTTTATTCTTGCATTGTTCCAATATGAGTTGTAAATCTTATTCTAAATATCTATTTCCTTTCATACAATTCATATCTGATACCTTACTATAAACATGATTGCCCTCTTTTATTTATTATACAAATGGTAATGGAATTGAAATGGCCATTCTTTTAATGATATATTTCCATATTTTCATAGTAGGTATATTTATCAGTTGTGGTTGAATTTGTCTTAGGAATTCTGCACCTGTAGTGGTATTGTAGATTGTGCTCAACGTTCTGAACATATGTGCGAAGGACTTAGTTACCGAGCTACACACAACAAGAGGAACAGCTCAACTCTATAAAATGTTTCTTGACCTCTGGCTGTGTTAGCTTAGGGAATACAGGTGATGCTTAAAGTTTAGCCAAAGTACTGACTGCTATTGGCCATGGTTCAATTTACAAAAACAAAAATCATGAAAAGCAAAGCAACATTCAAAATAACCCACTCCAAAGTAATTAATTCCAAAGGGATCAAATAAATTAAATGCCAGAGTATGAATTAAAAAAACTAACAATAAGAATTTTTAATAATATCTGAAGATATAATCCAACTTGTGAATGAATTAAAATAATATATATTAATGGTTGAACTTAATTAGGAAGTCAGCATAAAGTATCGAGGAATAATTCAATAACAACAAAGAAAAGCAGTAAAAAGCTCATTGGAAAACTTAGACTGTATAAGTTTGCACTCCTACCAACAAAGAGGAGTGTCCCCTTTGTTCCACATCTCCTCCAGCATGAGCTGTCATTTATGTTTTTTATCTTAGCTATTCTGGCAGGTATAAGATGGAATATTAAAATCAGTTTGATTTGCATTTCCCTGATGGCTATGGATGTTGAATATTTCTGTAAGTGTTTCTCAGCCATTTGAGATGTCTCTGTTGCTAATCTGTTTAGATATGTACACAAATTTTTCATTTTGTCTTTATATATGAAAGTTCACAAAAAACTCATCTCTTTATGCAGCTGGATAAGCCATAATCCTAGGATGTCCCTGGTCCTCTCATATAGATATCACCCATATAAGCCAAATTCCTATCCCCAGGCACTACCTCTCAAGAGGCAAAACTAAGTGCTTTTATTATTACATTGATCAAAAAAATATATAAAGTCCAAGTATGCCTACATTACTATCTATTCCAATATCCTTACGTTTCTTCTTTACCTAAAAATGACCTCTTGGAGTCAGCTCTCTCCCATTTTGGGCAGCTAACATTTATTGCCAAGAGTATCAAATGGAGAAACAATGTATTTCCACTAATAATAATAATACAGTCTTGTTGGCAAAAGACAGCAGTCATGTACCCAAATTCCCACTCCATATCATGTATTACCAGACATTGCCAAAGAGAAATGGTCTCTCCCACTTTACTAAGACATCTTGACCTATCTGAATTTACTATTTTATGTCTCCATGTGGATTCTCATAATATTTCACCAAAATTATATACTATTACAAACTTCAGACCATTTTTTTTATAACAATTCACCAATACTTTCTTCAGCTGCCATTAAACTAATCCAACTTACAAATCTTAACTCCTCATTCCACATTCACCAGATGCAGGGCCTCCAACACACTGGAAGATCAGTTTCACATATATAACACAAATACTTTCCTATCCTCATGGATGTATTATCAGGAGTGGATGGAGATCTTGTGGACCTTTAACAAAAAGGATCACATGGTTGCACCCCATTAGTAATTGATTTTGTTTGATGCTGTCTACTTTCTTTGAGTTCTTTATATATTTTGAATATTAGCCCTCTGTGAGATATACACTTGGTGCTAATCTTTCAGCATTGTGTTGGCTGCCATTTTATCCTATTGATGGTATCCTTTGCCTTATAGAAGCTTTTTAGTTTCATGAAGTTTCATTAAGTATTTAAATTTCTTAGGATGTGCAGTGTCAATGTTCTGTTTAGAAAGTTGTCTGCTGTGCCCATGTGTTTGAGACTATTCCTCTCTTTCTCTTCAGTCAGATTCAGTGTATCTGGATTTATGCTTAGGACTTTGATTCACTTGGAATTGAGTTTTGTACAGGGTAATACACATGAATAAGTCTTCTTACATTCTTCTACATGCTGATATCCAGTTAGAACAGCATCATGTTGAAAATGTGTTCCTTCTTCCATTGCATATTTCTCGCTTCTTTATCAAAAATTGGGTGTCACTTGTACATTGATTTTGAAAGTCAATATGGTAGTTCCTCAAAAAATTGGGAATTGACCTACCTCAAGATCCAC